CACATTACTTTTCAAACCATTGATTTTTAAAATTTAGTTGGAAATTCAAACACTTATTTATATTAAAATGGTGGAACCCTTAATCAAAAGTAAATATAAAAAATTCCAAACTCAATTTGAAAATAAAAACTCAATAATTTACATAAATACAATAGAGTATTTTTACAAAACTGGTCAGAGCATATGAAATTTTAAACCTTTAATTACATGCCAACATCATTTAGTACAACAAAATGACATATTGTTTATGATGTTTCTGATCTGATCTTCAATAGAGATATGTTATCTTGACTGGTCCTAGCTTTGATCTTCTTGCTTCTTTGAACCTATGTGTGAAACACTCACACGATAAGTCTTTGACTTAGTGAGAGATATAATACATAAATAAAACATGAAAACATTTAATCGTATACTTAACTTTTATAAAACATCATAGAATAAAGAAACCATAATACTTTTCACAAAACAAAAACATATAACATTATGCACTGTTCATTTATGTCATTTTTTTAGTAGCCCGTGATACATTATTGAGAACTTAAGGTATGTGAATGCATTGAGGTTGTGCTCTAATGCAGTCACCACTGCTCATATAAATTTTACCAAAGTGCCGCATAGGAATGTCCCGAAGGACCACTTAGATATGTCCTGAAGGACCGCGTAGAAATGTCCTGAAGGACCGCGTAGAAATGTCCTGAAGGACCACGTAGAACCCTCGACTCTTGGCATGCCAATTATACCTTTAGCTCTCATATCACATACTTTTGGGCTTTACCATTTACACATTTCACATAGCTTGTATAACATATTCATATAATCACATAGATCAATAACACGTATGAAATATAAACAGTGCATGTAAATGTAGTAACAAAATCAACACTATGCTTGTATTCATGTAAACATGTAATCATATCATTTCATAAACTTTCAAAACATTGTTTTAATCAAAATATTGGAATATGTATATATAGTATTATGCACTCACCTTAGCCTCACTTAGTCAAAGTAAAACTCTTATCACTCTTGATTTATCTTATAACTTCGAATAATCTGAAACTTGCCTTCGTTCAATATCTACATAATAATATGATCTAAATGAATATCGGAGATCATATTACTACTAATCAATCATCAATAACTTAAACTAAATGAAACACCTAATTCAACATTTCAAGTTGAATAGTATCGATACTCTAGACCCAGTACCGATACTTCCTTACTATGGTATCGATATTATTCTTCAGTATCGATACCCAATCTACATTATGGAATTTGACTCTAAAAATGGTATCGATACTTGTCCATTAGTATCGATACCCTAGGTATTGATGCTACTCTTTCGGTATTGATATTGTTATACTGATTCGTAAAATTTCACCATATGGTATTGATATTGTTCTTCCAGTATCGATACTCCAACACAGATTTCTCCTATTTTTGCTTTAAAATAACGGTACTGTTCATCCAGTACCGATACCCTTTCCTATAAATTACTCATTTCAATTCGAAAATTTACCAAAACTTGCTTAAACCTCACACTTTTAACTTCTTTAAGGCCTTTAAATTCAAATACATCTATTAAACCCAATTTATATCACTTTGACACAATTAAACATCCAAAATCCCATGAAATCGCTTAAAACCAAAAATCACACCAATTAATCAACATACTCCAAATCCTTTTCCAACACCTTAGATTTCTTATTTCAGCTTATGACAAGTCAAATATAACTTTCAAATTCAATTACTAATCATTTATGATCAAGTCACTCAAAAACTCTCTTTACTAAATCACCCATAACCTATCCCTACTTTAGTTTCTACTTCTCTTTAAGCTTTCTCAAGCTTCTCTAATGTCCCAAGAACCAAAACAAATAAAAAAAATTACAAGAAATAACTTACTTGAGGATTTCTTACCTTAGCTATGGAGTCACAATGGAGATGAGGAAGAAATGATGAAGAACGAAAATTCTAGATTTCTTTTACTCTTTCCTCTCTAATCCACGTGTATATATAATACACCAAATAATGGATTTTAAATTCATAATATGCTAAAAGACTCCTTTGCCCTTCCATCTTTCAATATTTTCTAATCAATCCTACACAAATAATTTCCAATTAATTCCCTGAACTTTTCAATTTATCTACTTTAATCACTAAGTTTTAAAATCTTACACTTTGGTCACTAGCCTGGTGTTTGGGATGTTACATGAAAAGGTTTATCAAACCTATAAGTACTAATAGGAAAAGGCAATCTACATTGTTTACCCAATGGACAAACAGAACAAGCTTCTACACAGCTTGGATCAAGTTTTTTAGTTTGTAGAAAAGGCATTCAATGCAATTTGGATAAAGGTGCATGCCCTAAACAAGCATGCCATATACTTGTATTATTGGCAATAGTTGACATACATTAAGTAGAAAGAGGAAACATCTTTTTATCAAGTGGTAAAGACATTTGAGACACGTCATTCTACTGGGAAACCTGAGAAACAACAGAGTGCTTTGACTGTGAAGAAGACCCAAACAAGTATAGACCTTCAAGTTGCTTACCAATCTCCCTCATCCTTCTATTGGAGAGGTCCTGTAAAACACGAAAGTTGGGATAGAAGATAACATCACATCTCAAGTCCTTAGTTAGCTTTGAAACGGAAATGAGATTATGATTAAAACTAGGGACACAAAATATATTTGATAAGGTGAGGTCAGAACTCAAATTTTGTGTGTTACCAATGTGAGAAAAAATGGAAATATAACCGTTGGACAAATGAACAAGTCTAGAATTAGTGCAAGAAACAAGATTTTGCAAAGCCTTAAAGTCACACAACATGTGATCTGTGGCACCGGTGTCCAAGATCCAATCAACAGATCCTTTAGAGGGGAAGCGAGAGATATTATCTGCCATATTAACCGCAGAGTCCATCAGATTCTGATATAGCAACTAAAAAGTTGACTATAATGCTCATGAGTAAAAGTATGAGCCACAGGCGTAAAGTGACCAATGAGTCAATAACAAGACTCTTATGTCCTTTAACTTTGCAAAAATCGCAAACACCATTGAACCTTTTACGAGGAGAGGCATTAGTTAGCATAACAGATGAATCAGAAATTGGATTTATACCTCAAATATAAGCACGATGAGACTCCTCTTGTACAACCAAGGAGTAAGCCTGGTTGACAGTATGTAACGGTTGCATGAATAGTATCTGACTCCGGACTGTCGAGTACCACTCATTCAACACCATCAAGAATTGAAATAATCACTGCTGCAACAAATACATAAAATTCTCCTGTGCCACTTCACAATTACGCGAAGAATAGGGCACCAAGGTAGTGTGCTCATCTCAAACTAATGCAACACTTGGGGAAAATAAGATTCCAGCAGACAAGATTAAGCACAATAACCATCCACAAAACCAGATTTTTTTTTCGTGATCAATGCTATATGCATATACCTACTTCAGATGTTATAGTTCTCTGATCCAGTGAGTTGGTGAGACACAAGCAAAGTCCTCAGTGTGTCCCACCAATGTAAATACAACTGATGCGTAAAATCAATCGTGAGAACATCGGAGGACGATGACATGATTGAGCACAATAACTAAACCCTAGAAACAAGCAAACGCCGAATAAGGAAGCCCAATAACAAGCCAATCCGACCAAGAAACAAATAATGGGCCTAAAAAACAAGAAGAATTTAAAAAACCCAAAGCTTGACAGATAACTCCTTAACTAACTTGTAATTAATTATTCCAAATAATAAGTTTAACTACTCTACTAACAAACTCTTAACATGGTTTTTGTTTTTGGATGATAGAAAACTAAAAAAAATATCTCTATTTATAGGCTATTTTTTATGGTTAAAAACGTCAAGAAATAATCAGTCATAAACGCTAATTAAATTTCAAAAATTATTTGTCAATTATATGCTGTAATTTTCTGATGTAACTGGTTGAATCTGGCCTCAAAACTGTGTCCAAAAAATAGATGTTAAAACAACTTTTAAATCAGCAAGTCAAACGACTGAAATTAAGTCTTATTAAATTAGCTGATTAGTCCGATAATTATATTATTTTCTATTGTAATAAAGATTCGAACCTAGCCCTAAAACTGTCTAGGTTCAAACAGTGGAAGTTATCTTCCACAATTAAAAGTAGTCACAACTATTATGATACAATTCATATTTTCCATAAAGCCAACAATTAGACAGATAATTCCAGCAATTAATCTGATCAATTAAAAGTCTATATTGCCTATAAATATGATATGTAAAAACTTATTTTAGTTTTTAAAAAATTAATTTCAAAGATATTTTTTGTATTTTCTCTAAAAAAAAATAGAATGTGCGGGAATGTATCGAAAACATGATCACGAATCAAACTGGGCCAATTTGGATGATGACGACAGCGCGTACACGTGCGAGGGAATTGTTTCACCACATTCACTAAGGAAGAAATACTTTTCCAAATGTATTTTCCTCTCAATGTATAATATGTTTACACTCATGAGCACAACCAACAATAAGAAGTAAATCTCAAACGGTCAAATCTCCCCACTTGACTCGTTTGTTAACAAAATTTATCTTAAAAAATACATTTTCTAACATAGAGTTATACCGTGAATTAGAAATTTTTGAAAGTAATAGTATTAGGAGCAAAATTTTTCTTTTCCTCCTCTAAGTAAAAATTATTCAAATATATATATATAGAGAGAGAGAGAGTGAGGGGAGTCCAATTACACTATCTAAAACTCTTTTAGTTTTACACATTTTTAAGAGTGTTGAATGAGAGAAATTAAAAGTTGAGATTAACAGTAAAAAAATAAAAAGATTTCACTAGAAAAAAGAGTTATTTCAACCTTTAATTTTTCTCTATCCAATAATCCTATGAAGGTGTACACAATGTATATATATATATATATATATATATATATATTTATATATATATATATATATTCGACCCAATTATTAGTATTAGTTAACTAATAGTATTAGTAACGGTAAGAGCAATATTGAAAAGCGCGTGGACTGGTCCAGGCTACCACGGCACCACCCACAATTCTTTTATAAATTTCGATTCTTTCGACCTCCCTGCTTCATACCAACGCTAAACAATATCTTCCTCCCCTTTCTCATCCTCAGTTTGCATTTGCAAAGCTAAAGGCCATGTCTCAGGTACTCTTTTCTTCTTCTTGGCTGAATCTTTAAGCATTTCTACTATTATTTTCTTTTTGCAATATTTTCTGGATCAAACTTCTTGTTTCTGTAAATTTCGATTTGTATTGGGGTTTCAATTATAAAAAAGAAAAAAGAATAGCCAAAATACCGAATTCGAATGATTTGGTATTTATAAATTGGAGATGAAGATTGACGTATTTAGATTCTAGATTCTTTTCTTCAATTTTAGCCTTAAAAAAAGAGCGAAAAAAGAGTAGCCTATTGTATTTGAACGATATTCACTGGTTTCATTGCAGACCGTTGTTCTCAAGGTTGGTATGTCATGCCAAGGATGTGTTGGAGCCGTTAAGAGAGTTCTGGGAAAAATGGAAGGTCTGTAATCAACAATCTCATCCTTTGGTTTTCTTACACTACAACCACTAGTAAAAACCATATTACTTTGTCATCTAAATTCTCCGTTTTCCATCAAGTACTCATGTTGTACATCTATGTTAGATCACATATATTGGATATGATGAGAGACGACTGCATAATTTTATGTCATGAGCAGGGATTTAAATTACGGTTGCAGTCGTGTTATTAGTTGTGTTGCATTAAACGCAACTACAAACTTAACAGGCGCTATTGTGATGATAGCGGATATCACATTCATGCAATAATGGTTTCTGGTGACACTGTTACCGCTATATAATGAGTGATATTGCGGTAGAGAACTACTATTTAAATCTCTTGTTAGGGATGCTTAAGAAGTTATATTAGAAATCTATGAGTATGAAATTCAATTATCGAGAGGAAAGATAAATAAAATACTTAAATTATGTGGGAATTTGAATTTTTCAGGGGTGAAACCCCAGCACCCGCTCGGTGCATCCTGATTATGATCTTTCAATACTAAGAAAACAAAAACAAGTACTCATGTTGGAAACGTAATTGTATTTGATTCATGTTCATCAACAAGTCCGAGTAACATAGATATTGGGGAAAAGGAAAAAGAGAGGTGTTGGACTGGTGAAGAGGAAACAATTTCATTTTTGTGAATACTGATTTATGATGGCATACTTTGTTGGTATGTGAAATTAGTTCTGCATTCACCATCTTTGGTAAATTGGTAAAGGATTAGCTTCATTTTTACATTCAGGTAGCAAATCATACTCCCAATCTAATCAGTTGCTGTTGTTTTATCTGGTTTGATATATATAAGTCATGGAACACATTTCAGGTGTAGAATCATATGATATAGATTTGGAGCAGCAGAAAGTGACTGTGAAGGGCAACGTTCAGCCTGATGCCGTTCTGCAGACCGTGTCGAAGACTGGAAAGAAGACTGCCTTCTGGGAAGCGGAAACTTCTCCGGCAGAAGCCGAAGCAAAGCCTACAGAAACTCCAGCAGAGGCCGAAGCAAAGCCTACAGAAGCTCAAGCTGAAGGAGAGGCAAAGCCTGCAGAAGCTGAAGCAGAGGAGGCAAAGCCGATAGAGGCTGTTGCCACGGCGTAATCGGTTTCCGGTTTGCTCATGGATTGAGTGGAATATTATTAGCTTTATTAAAAGTTAATGCAAATTTTTATGGATTGTAGAATATATATACTTACCTCCCTTTAACACGGGAGCTAGAATAAGTTGTTGGGGGCTTCTCATGATATCTTTTTCTAATGTGTATTTGTTTTCCTCTTCAATGAAAAATTTTGGGTGTCCTTACTAGTAAACAAAACGAATACTTGCACTTGATTTCCTCAAGTATATAAACTTAGGGTCTGTTTGTTTAGCTGTAATTGGTTTTCCAGAAAATGAATTACTGGAATTTGAATTACTGGAATTTGAATTACTGGAATTTGAATTCTGGAAAATGAATTACATTTCTGTAAAATGAATTACATTTCTGGAAAATGAATTACATTTCTGGAAAACATCTGGAAAACGTTTTATGATGTTTGAAAGATATTATTTAAACATTTTTTCGGTATATTTTAGTGAAATAAAATTTTATAAATTATATTTAATTATTTATTAAAGTAATACTACTATATTATATTTTAAAAATATTAATTAGTATATTTTAATATCTTTACTAAAATATTATTGAAATATAAATAATATTATTCATTATTAAATATATAAAAATTTATTATATTTATTAAATAAAATATAATATCTTATATTATTATAATATAATTGATTATTTATATAATATTAAAAATATAATATATATATTATAAATATTAATAAATATTTTAAATATTTTAATAATTAATATTTTGATGAAAATGATATTAAAATATTTTATTAATATTAAATTCATAAAATAAAATTATTTTGAGTATTTTTGCTTTGAAGTGAAAAGTTCGGAAAATGACTTACGGAAAATGAATCCGTAAGTCATTTTACAGAAAACACAAAGGAAATTCTGTTACTAGGAAAATGAATTACATTCCGGAAAACGAATTACGTGAAACAAACACGGGAAAACGTTTTCCGGAAAACGAATTACGTGAAACAAACACGGGAAAACATTTTCCGGAAAACGAATTACGTGAAACAAACACTGGAATTCGGGGAAAACCAATTCCGTAATTCGAATTACGAGAAACAAACAGACCCTTAGCCAAAAAACTTGTTTATTTAGGGTTAGTTTGACATGGTTTTCGAAAAGTAATTTTTAAAAGTATGATAGAAAAGAATTTTTAAGTGTTGTTTAAAAGTGTAATTTAAAATTTAACGGTTTAAGATTGTTGTTAAAAAATGAGTTTGAAAAGATAAAATGTCCATTATAGATATTATGTTATAAATTAAAAATATATAATTTAAATTATATTTACACATTAATACTATGATATATAAAATACACTTAACTATAATAAAAATATAAAAAATATTTTAAAATAAATCATAAATGATATTTTATATGAAATATTTTATTAAAAATATATATTATTAATACTTTTTTATCGTGTGGATATAAAATATTACGAATAGAATATTAAAAAGTACATTGGTACTTGAAAATTAAAGTGAATTTATTAAAATATAAGCTATAGTAATAACTCACTATTAATATTTTAATCTATAAATTATGAATTTTATTTATTTTAAGTAATTAAAATAAATTATTAAGTAAGAAATAATTTTTTAAAGATGTTAATATTAAATTATTAAAATAAAATATAAATATATAATTGAATGGATCCTATGCATTAGTAAGGGTAAAATTATAATTTGCTTCCAAACACAAAGTTGAAAATAAAAAAACTACAAATTTTAGCTTTTGTGATTAGTTTTAAACTACTGTTTTCACTATAATTTATTCTCATTTTTACCCATTTGATATTGATTTTGCAGTTAAAATAAATTTTGTAACTAAAATTATTTTTAGAAAATCACATCAAATGAGACCTTATTACCCAATTTATCTTCCTCCATAGAATTGAGGTCAAAGAATTTGACTGGAAAATAATTTACTTTTGAATTGATTTAAAAATATAATGGTAAAAATATTAGAAGTACATTACTTTTGAAAAAAAAAATCAATGTGATTATCATATTATTTTTCTTTTCAATGTGGCCTTTAACTCAAAAAACAAATTCAAGGTGACCATTTGATCAATGTTTTTCATCATTAACCTTTACAATACTAGCATGTCAGTTCATGGTATTGATGTGGCAGTTCATCCTCTATGTTTGAGTTACCAATTTAGTCAATCTGTCATGTCATCCGCCACGTTAATCTACCACCCTAGACTTCCATTTCAACACCGTGAACTGTCATGTCAACACCGTGAACTGTCATGTCAACACCGTGAACTGTCATGTCAACACCGTGAACTGCCACATCAACATTGTAACAGTCAATGACGAAAAAATATTGGTCAAAAGGTCATATTGGATTTATTTTTTAAGTTGGTGGATCACATTGAGTCTATTTTTTAAGTTGAAGAGTCGCATTAAGAGAAAAATATAATATGAGGATCATATTATTTTTTTTCAAAAGTACAGAGACCTATGATGTATTTTTTTCAAAATTAATATATGAATATATTGAGCTATCTTATTGGCAAAAGGAAATGTATGAGGATTCAGATTCAAGTAGTTATGTCTAGAGGTTTGTACACGTTGTCTATAAACTAAGAATATCTCATAATCATCTAAAACGTCACAAACATAAATACAAACACGAACGTAGGATTTTATGTTATAGAGCTAATTTGAACTTATAAAATTTCAGGGAGACGAAAATATATTTTCGATAGAAAATACATAAAAAATCTAAAATATGTAGTAATTTTAAAAGTTCAATGGACAACTACCCCGCCTGCCCTACCTGTTATACAATGTAAAACTCTTTTACTTTTATACAAATTTAGAATCGTTGGATGAGTGAAAATATATGTTTGAGAATAAAAGTAAGAAATGTGAAGATATTTATTGAAAGATAAAACATTGAATAATAATTTATTTTCACTCATCCAATGATCCTAAATCTGTGTAGAACTAAAGATTTTTATATTATATTACATATATGCAACCATTGTATAGAATTTTATATATTATGTTACGTGTTAATATTTAATGACATAATTGAATTTTGGTTATTTTCGGTAAATCTTGAATTTACCATTCTTTTGATAGGTTTTTAATATTTATAATATAACATCATAAATAAGTAAATAATAACGAAATCTTAATGCTACTTAATGTAATATCTTATATTATAAAAAAAATATTTATACATCAAGTGATCTATGTGGTAAAAAGTATTCTTTTCATTATATTTATAGAGTGTGTATATATTATTAATTTATTAAAAAATTGAACATATATTACCTTTTAATCACCAAAATTATTAAAAAAATGTGTGTTAATTGAATTTTTTAATATATTTTAAGATGATTACAACATAATACTCGTTCAGAACCTTTATTAACCATTTGCAATTCACATACCACATACGCGGTTGTTTGAACTTAAGACTTTTAGAAAGAACATCAGTCTTACTTCTTTTGTTAATCTAGGAAAATTACAAATGATAATATATATTCTAAAAACTGCAAATCATTTAACAGTAAATATTTGAATATCATGCAGTCGGGGTGCTCCCAAGAGCACTCGTGCTTTAAATTTGATATAAATAATTTACTTGCATATCCTGCCACTTCCCATTAAGATGGATGTGTGCTTCATCTCCCAACTCCCGAATTCCAGAAAGTAGCCGGACTGAACACCTTTGATCCAGGTATTTATTGTTTTTCTGTCCTCCTAATTTGTATATAATTATTTTCAGTGCTGGTTTGTGTTGTTTCATGCCCATGACTTCATCTGAAGGACAGAGAATAACTTGGATTGTTCCAGTCTAGTGATGCTTACGGTGAATGGCTGGCTACATCAACAAAAGTATCTCTGAATTACTTTTCAGCTACTTGGTCGATAGCTATTCAATTTGCCTGTCTTTCTGTATGCTTTACCATTCAACTTTTACTCGAATCTTTTGAATATGATACATCTCTTATCCTTCACATATTAATATGCCAGCATCCTGGTGAGTTAAACTGGTTCGTTGTTGCTCAAATGATTATCTACAGTTCCGTAGTCGCGTTTTCGATTGTGTTGTGTTTACGGCTATTGTTGTTTGCTGATATAGCAAATGCTATTACATCATTGTGGGTATCACTATCATACAATAACAATTTCAGACGGTACAACTACTGTTATTTAACAATTGTTATTCTAATGACAGAATGTTATTTAAAACCCTCTAGTCATTCTAAGTTCCTGTCTGTGACATTTGCGGACTTTTCTATTGAAAATTAAACCAACTTTCGGTGGAAAGTTGGATTTAATTAATCCACCGAATGGCAAATGTCAAAAAGGGTGGCTTTGTGTTGAAAATTAACAATGGTAGAAATTCATTTTTAGTCATTGTAATTTAGGGTATTTACAAATTAGTCCTTAAGCTTCAACTATAAATACCCTAGCTCATTTAGCTTCAAAACCATCCCAAAACATTCTAGCTTTCTTCCAATACTAGAGAGAATATTAGAGAGTTTCTTGAGAGTTGTTTTCTCCTTTTTTATCAAGAGAGAATTATCATTGTTTTCTCCTTGGTCGATCGAGAGAAGTTGTAATTCATATTTTCTCATAGTGAAATTCTTCTACCGTTGCCCGTGGTTTTTATCCTATATTATTTAGGGGTTTTCCACGTAAATTTTGTGTCTTCTTTATCTTCATTTTTATTTTCTCAAATTATCAGTTGCGATTTTGCTCTATTCGATAGCCGTCTTCCGTAACAATTGGTATCAGAGCTAGATTAGAGTGTGTAATATCTGCTTATTGTCTTTGTGGTTGCCACCAAAAGATGGATCCTCCAACATAAGAAAGTAAGAAGGTATTACCCATTCTTTGAAGGTTCCAGAGAACTATTCACGATAGTGAAATAGTGGGAGCTATCCGTAATAGAAGCTATGGAAACGAAATTTGATATTGAAAAATTTAATGGGAGAAATTTCTCATTGTAGAAATTGAAGATGAAGGTCATCCTGAGGAAAGACGGATGTCTAGCAGCTATCAGTGAAAGGCCGATAGATTTTACAGATGACAACAAATGGATCGAAATGAACGGGAATGCTATGGCAAACTTTCATCTAGCATTAGCAG